ACCATGCTTCAATTGTTTGTTTCTATCCTTTTCTCGTTCCTAACTCTGTAGTTGGGGTTAAGTATCATGTCTAGTATGCCTTGTCAGATGATCAGAAATGTGTAACAGAGATTAATTAGTATTAGTACTAAAAATATATGTGCTTTTTAGGTGCCTGCAGAGGTGCGAAAATCGGGGTGTACTACGGGCCTAAGGACAGCCGCTACGCGTTCTTCTTTCGGCCCCTGCTCGAGTTTCTCGTCGAGAATCGAGCACCATTCATTGTCAACGTGTACCGTACTATGCCTATCGCGACTCGTCTTCCAACGTGTCCCTCGACTACGGCCGCTTTGGCCCCTCCTCGCCTGAGGTCATCGACCCCAACACGGGCCAGAGGGAGCAGACCGGGGTGAAGGACTGTGGAGTTCACGTGTTCATGGAAATGGAATGTTACACCGTCGATACTCCAGAATATTGGAGGGCCCAAAATACTTGTTCAATCGATGGCTATCGAGCACAGATGACAACACTCATCCTTAGAAATCCTCATTGTTGACAGGTTGTTTGGCTGGTGTTTGCTATTTGTTTAAACTGGATGTTTTGCTTTGTAGTATGATGGTTTGATAGCTGATTGTGGACAAATTGGATGATGGTGTGATTTTGTGAATGATGGTTTGTTGTTTGTGGACGAGTAGTCTAGTAGTTTGATTGTTTGATGAATGATTGTAATTTTATGGATGATGGTTTGTAGACAAAGTAGTTGAATTGATGATGTTTTGGATTTTTATTTATTTGATTCCTAATAATACCTGTTTTTTTAATATTAGTACCGCATTTTTGGTGTGAAAGTACTCATTTTCCAGTAGTTAGTACTCATTTAATTTAAGGATGTTGAGTTTTTAAACTGATACTGCTTTCTATTCGTAGTAGTACCTATTTTCTTCACATTAATGCCAATTTTGTATTGTTATAGTACCAGTTTTAATATTGTTATAGTATCGGTTTTGTATTGTTATAGTACCAATTTTGATTTGAAATGATGTTTACATGACAAATAATCACTCTCACACTCATTGTATAAGATTTATAACGTGTTTAATTAAGTTTAATCGCAAATTGGTCACGAACTCAACATACTAATGAAAAAAACACTACCAACACTTCATCTCATTAAAATGGTACCAGTTTTGGAAAAAATAGTACCAATCTTTTTTCTACGAAGTACCTATTTTTGATCAATTAGTACCAACTTTTGGTCAACGAAAATGAATTATTCAATTGTGGTTAATATCTGCAATAATTGGTACCAGGCCTAGAATAAGATAGTACCAGCTTTTGGTGTTTTAGTACTGGATATCGGGTCTTTTAGTACCAACTCCGACGAACATAAAAAATACCAAATTTCAGTCTGAAATGATGTTTACATGACAAATAATCACTCACACACTAGTTTGCATGATATTTATAACGTGTTTAATTAAGTTAAATCGCAAATTGGCCACGAATTCAACACACGAATGAAAAAACACTACCAACACTTCATCTCATTAAAATGGTACCAGTTTTTGGGAATAATAGAACCATTTCTTCTTCTACGAAGTACCTATTTTTGATCAATTAGTACCAGCTTTTGGTCAACGAAAATGAATTATTCAATTGTGGTCAACATTTGCAATAATTGGTACCAGGCCTAGAATAAGATAGTACCAGCTTTCGATGTTTTAGTATCGGATATCGGGTCTTTAGTACCAACTCCGACAAACATAATAAAATATCGAATTTCGGTCTCAAATGTTTTTTGTATGACCAATAATCACTCTCACATAAGTTCAGATGAAATTTGAAATGTTTTAAATCGAGTTTAATCGTAAAATGATCATTAACTTGACACACTACTGACAAAAATACTACTAATACACTTCATTCATTGAATGTCACACTTCATCTCATAGAATCATCATACATGACTACTCCAAATTTTCCCTATATATTTTAACTTCCACTAATTTTCATTCGAATCAGGCGTGAACGATCCACGTGTCATGGTAGACATGAAAGAATAGAGAAATCACGATTCTTAAAATAGTACCTATTTTAGCCAATACAGTACCACATATTTATCAACGTGGTACCTGTTTTTGATCAATTAGTACCAACTTTTGGTCAACAGAAATGGATTATTTAATTATGGTCAATATTGGCAATAATGGTACTAAACCTAAAGTAAGATAGTACCAGCTTCCGGTGTTTTAGTACCAGATATTGGGTATTTAATACCAACTCCGACGAACACAAAAAAAAAAAAAAAAAAAA